CTTGCCAAAAAGCTATGCAAAAATAATTGCGGATGCGTGTTTATCCCTGTGTGGAGGATGGGGGTGGGGGGGAGGAATCATAATACAGTTTTGTCATAATTAAGTTAGATAGCATCTGTAATGCGCTGGAATGCAGAAGTATCCATTTTACTTCACTCTAAATTACCATCTTGACAAAACCCACACACCACAACCCACACACTCAAGTTAGCTTGGAGCCCCAGTTTCTAAAAGAAAAGTCCCTTTTTACAGCCGAACACTCAACCCTCTTTTGGAACCACAGTACCTACGAAGCCTGCCCACAGACAGTTCTGTTTCTGTACCAGTTGTCAGCTCCACTTACAAAAGCAAATATCTAGCTGCACAGTGGGAACGCTCAGCAGGAGAAGTCTTTCTACTGCAACACAGCAGATCTCTCCATACAGAAATGACTGCTTATTCGATCCGTCTCACAATCCCCACTTGAAAAGGAGTAGTTTTCTCAACAGCGATGGCCCGGGGTCGATTACAACGTGGTGTCTGAAAAACAGTCCCATCCCATCATCCAAGGGTGGTTTCCGGTCATGTTGTGAAGTCGCATATAAGATGAAGGGCACAGAAAATTAGAAGGCAAATCAAACAAATCCCTTCACAGTGTGGGGGGGGTGGGGGAATCTGTTGAGAGATTTGCTCTGTTCTGCCCTAAGACAAGGTACATGCCTTCAAGGATTTTTGTTTTAAACAGCAGCTAGTAAAAAGGGATCCTTGCTAAAATTCTTGTAGGATCCTGTAATATAATATCAGTAAGAGAAGAAACAAAAATCTGTCTGTTAAATTAGAACTAGTGTACTTAAACAGTTTCTTATACACATTACAACAAATATCAAATTATTGTAGCAACTTTTGTTGCTATTTCATAATTGTTTTTTGAAGCCTTTTCTTTAGTAAAATTAAGATATACTCTTGCTTCTAGAAACTCAGGTCCTCTCTCACTCATGCTACAATGCCTGATCTGCATATTTGTCCTCTTACAAACTGCTTTACTAGATCAAAAAGCAGTAAACATTTTCAGATAAGCATTTCTAGTCCTTCAAAATCTTTAACACATAGATTTTGTAAAAAAAAAAAAACAAAACCAAAACAAAAATACCTAAAATTTAGCTCAAATTTGGTTCAGTACTTCCAAGGAATCCTTATCAAAAGGCAAGATGAGGAGAGAGTTTTACAGTTAAAGATGTAGAAAGATGCAATTCTTCCAACCAGAGCACATGTGACTGTAGAGAAAAGCACAGTCCAAAAATACCAACAGGAAGAAAAACCAAAGATGAGTTAAAAAAAAACCCCAAAACCAAAACCAAGCCTACTCCTACAGTCACTGCTGGAGTGACCCTGACCATTTCGGAAGAGGATACATACGAGGACACAGTTCAGAGAAGTAACACAGATACATGTACACACCAGATTCAGGGGTTTTGTGCAAGTGTAAACGAGGGAAGTAGCGTAGTGTCAGCATGGAAGATAACAGCCTCTATTTACAGTGGCCTGCACCGCTCCAAAATTAAACCATCAATGCTTCTGAAAACACTAATGCTACATTAGGTTTCTTGTTCAGCTTTAGCAATTCTCCTGGCCACAAAAGTTATATCATCCACCCACAACAGATATCATACTGTGAATCTCTCAAATTACTTTGTGTCTCGACCTTTTAGGACATTTGATTCTCTCTGCAAAACTTACTGCTTAACATGAATCAGATGCTTTTGTACGTTTTCTTTTGCTCTCCTACACTCACATGCCAGAAGAGTCAAGTGATAGAAATCTGAAAAGAAAAAAGACCCTATAACATGCCATTTTTTTACTACAGAGGGTTTAATACAATGGTGTTTAGAAGTACTTTAAAATACTTTCTGCTTTTATTAGAGGGCCCTAACAGCTAAATATTTTGCCAATAGGTGGCACCAACACGAGTTAAATCAAGTGTAAAGAACCCTATCCTTGCTGAGGGACAAGCCTTCCTCCTTTCCAACCCCCCTGGGCACCAACATTAAATGTATACTTCGGTATCACCAGATACCACTGGTGATTTCTCTCATATGAGAAGTCATCAGTCTGAAACCTGGCCCTCAGGCTACTCATCCTTTAATAATGGACACATAATCTTTTTATAAACTAAGTATTTTTCGTCAGTTTTAGAAACTTAATTATGTCTCCTCAACCAATAGCAAAGGTACACAGTCCTGCTCAGGCCTATTTATTGCTAGTCGTGTACTTGCACAACACTTACTTTGCTTAGATAGTAGCTAAGCACTCACTGCTGCAGAGTATTGGCCACTCCTGCTGTACTAAATGGTCCTACATTTGCTGCTGTACCTTTTTCTATTGAAAATGGTGCCTCGGGAAGCTCCCATGCCTCAAACTGATGGAGGATGAGACTATATCCATGTACATATTATTCTACACTTGCTCTACTCTTACAGTCTGAGAGCGGATATCAGGCTCGACAGACTGCTGGCTAGGTGAAGTTCAGCTGCTCTAGCTGAACGCCCAGGCACTGAAGAGGCAGTTACATTTTCAGGACCCACCTTTGCCATAGGAAAAAGGAAATAGCTACCAGTAAGACACTCTCGTGCCAGGCTGGAATCAAAGCTAAGAGATGCCCATGACACAAAAGGCAAGAGCTCATTTACTAGCAGGAAAGGGGAGACTGTCATATACATCAAACACCCATGCTTACATTATTACAGGTATGCAGCAGGTGTCAGGGGAAGAGATTAAAAAGAGAAAGATAGCATGAGATTGCACAAACACATTTCCATTTTGCATAAAGCCTACATTTAGTTATTCACCATGAAATCCAGCTGTTGCAGGGGCAGCAGCATGCTGTGGCATCCAGAAAGAGAAACATCAAAAGGTGACAGTAAGTAATGCAGTGGTCTGTTCTACAAGAGTTCAACCACCTTTTTATCAGCAGTGAGCTGTGCTGCATTTTTTTGTTGGCTTTGTTTTGTTTTAAGGCAAGTAGCACAGCTTTTTTATTTAAACTTTTCTTGCTAAATTTCAGGAACATGTTAGATTAATTACCACATTAGGAAAAGTGTCTCCACCTACTTCAGGAAAAACAAGACACAAAAAAGCCTTCAGAACTAGATTTTAACCCTCTACAGTTTTGATAGCCCTCTTAAAGTTTACTGTACATAGACTGAGCCTGAATATTTTTGGTAGATTAAAACCTTAGTGGAATAACTCAAAACAGATTAGAAATCTGCCTTAAATTTGTGTGAACTATACTAAGATTGTATTGCCTCTGTTGGGCATACTGTTCCACATGTGTCAAGCTAAAAAATGTCTTTTTTTTTTTCAGGCAATATGAATAACCATTGGCTATTTAATAAATAAAAGGTTTAGCCACAGTAGTCAAACTGGCTAATACAGCCAGCAGTGGTAATCAACTCTTAAATAACATACAAGATTGCCATAGGACTAAACTTCAGTGCACCAGCTAGTGGAATTTCTGTTGGATTTTTTTTAATACGGGTAAAAATCAAGAGCCCATAAAAATGCAGAACTAACTTCACCACAGAATAAGTGGAACCAGATCTACTTTGGCAAAATAAATAGCAGTAACCTTTTTATATCTATTCTGCAGTACCAAGCACTTGTAGCTTCAGAAAAGCATCTTCTGTTCAGGGTTTAGAACAGTGGATAGTTAACTAGATAAACTCAAGTGAGACAGAGGAGAGTGAGACAGTAATTAATTGCAGGAACCTAAACCATATGAGAATATTCCCCAAATCAATTCTTGTCACAACAAAGACCAATGGCAGCACAAATGGAAATATAAGCATAGCAAGATTGATTTTTCGTAATGTACTGAGAGTTAACTTCCCTGTTCTCATTTTACTACTTTATGGAACAGATTTTCCATTAACTTTCATCTGAGAAATATTAATATCTCTTTCTGTAATGTACACTCAAGCAAAACCAATGCCTACTTTTCCTTTCGCCTTGGTTTGACACAAGCAATTTATCTTATAGGAATGCACATCTAGCTCTATTTTAGAATGTAAACAAAAGGCTATCAGTGTTGACAACCTTATACTTTCAGAGACTTGAGCATGGACCCCAAACTCTTCAGACTGACCAAAGATTCCCATTCCCCATGGCGTGTTTATTTTGTTTCTGCATTTTTCATTACACTTGAATCACTTTTAAAAGCTTTCCTTTGTGATAAAAAGGAGCAAGAAAAGGATTATTTTTTTTAACCCGACCGATAGAGATTACATGAGAACCTAAAAACAAGATCCTTTAGATTTGTTTGTTCACAAACAAATTAATTTATATTGTCCATTGCTTTTTATTATGCTTTGGTATACCTTAAGTATATCTGACCAAGCAAAGATTTCATCTGTAATTTTGCCATCAGTATAATCTCCTGAAGATATACTACAGTTCTGGTACATTTTGAGAACCATAAAAAGCAGTATATATAATAAATGTATTTGTAAGATGCATGTGCATTTTAAAAGGCAGACGTTGCCAAAACACTGCAGAAGGATTTAAGAGCACTCTGTATTGCAACACAAAAACGTAATACAATGAAGAGTCAAAATAAAGTCTGACTGACAATTATGCTGTATCATTTTCTTCTGTGTTTTGAAAGGAGAACAGACTGAGACTTTGAAGAATGGATTGTATGAAAAAGAAAAAGGAAGCAAGATGCTCAGCATACGAATTTGTAATGCCAAAAATCCTAGTTGCAGCAAGTTCTGAAAATAAATGCATCATAGATATGACCTTTCTCATGATCCATCAGCTTAGATAAAGATGAGGTGGGGGATAATCACACCATGGGAGCTTCTGGAAGAATCAGACAAATGAAACAGAACTGAAATACTAAAAGCACAGCATTCCTAAAAGCTGTCTAAAAATCCCACGCACACTGATTGCATATGTATGTCGGGAGTTCAAACAGCTTTTCAAAATGAAAACAACAGATGTGACTTAACAAAATGGAATCTTACCTTTCTGCCTCTTCACTTGGGGAATATTGCTGATTGTGGTTGCCTGGACTATTTCCACTACAATCTGATACCTAGTTTTAAAAACAGTAGGGTATAAGGGTGAAGAAGGAGAAGAAAAAAAAAACGGTATTAATTTTTTTACAATGTGTTCTCCATACAGCACACAAGAATTAATAAAAACCAAAACACTTCCACCTTCTCCTCACCTGGAAGCAGAATTATTTCTCAGTGTATCTGCAACCTAAGGAGCAGGGTGCATATGGAGTAGAGTAGGAAAAAAAAGTTTATCTTGAAACAAAAGGAGAACATCCAACAATAATACTGCCCCTTTCTCTCAACTGCTGGCACTGCACAGCCAGTTAATAATATTCAGTGAACACAATGTAAAGTCATGCTCTTAACATTAAAAGTAAATATAAGTTATTTGTAGGAAACTAGGATGAAAGTTTAGTCCAAAAGCAAAGAGCTGTCTCTAAGGTTCTTCTAGCTAATGCACTCAATACATATATGGAGCATATATAAGTTAGGAGAGAAAAAAAGAAGTATTACACTAAAACAAGTAAACCACTCCGAGAACAATTAAAACCTGTTTATCACCTAAAACTATACTACACATAATGGAAGACAGCTAATGCAGTTAGTAAACTGAACTTTAAGTAAAACCAATCTTGTAACTAACAGACACTATGCATTCAAAGAAAATGACTGCCAGTTAAATCTTTCATAAACGTCAAAGTCCTGGTCATAACAAACTCTCGAACTCCTCTCAGTGCATTTACTTTGGCAGCTATTAATACTGGTAATAAAGAAAGTATTCTAGTGAATTGAACTCATTCATGTAGGAGTTCCCTAACCTCATCTATCAAGTTCACTCCTAGATGAAGGCTGAAGCCTCCCGGAAAGTCTGCTATTTCTGTGACTACTTATTCTCTGTTTAAGAAAGAGTCTATGATCCTTAAAATATATTCCCCTTCTTTCACCAACATTATTCAATTCCCCCCATTCCTCTTTTCTCCCATAACTCTTTTAGGATTTTGATTGTCTCTGCTTCTTTGTATAGACATACACTTTTACACCTGCAGCATACGCTCGCTCACACTACCAAGGTTTATTTAATTTTTTCTCCTGCAGTAATCTTTATTCTACCCAACTCCTTCAATTACCAAGTTGAAACCTGAGAACCAAGTTGAAAGCTGTTTGCAAAGCTTTAATTTTTCTAACCCTATTTCCTTCAGCCATTACTATATCTTGGTTGTCTCCATCCACCACCACAGTTCTTGCCCCGTCCTTCAGAGGAAGAACAGCCCCATAAGTGAAGATGGTATTTTGGTGCGTAGAAGTCCCACAGTTAATTCCCTGCTCAGACACAGACTTCCTAAATGATTCTGGGCAGCTCACTTGGACTTTTGGTGCCTCAGTTATGGCATCTGTAAATGGGTTATGAACAACACTCATTTACCTCACTCAGGTGTTGTAAGGTAACTGTGAACGTTATGAATTTATCAAATAAGATACGGACAATCAAGTAAATACTGGACATGGAAGGTAGTTACCACTTTTACCTTGCAACTTTTTCCTTCCAAATTTAATCCCATTTGTTCACATTCATGGTTTTACATGTTTTCATTATCAATACTGTAATATAGCATCTCTTTTCTTCTGTTCCTCATTATATTACCTTAAGTAAGGGAGATGCTCCAAGTTACACCCTCAAAGATACTATTTAGTCTGTTCCTCCTAAGCACTGGACTCTGACTGTAACTACTCCGTGAGAGTGCTGTACATCACTCCACCACAGAAACACCACCCTGGCTACACCACCAGACCATGACCCTTTCTCCCTGAAAGTCTGTGCTACATATCCTGTGGTGCTGGTGAGTAAACATCTAAGGATGTTTTAAATGTGGATGTATTAATTTTATTTTCAAGAAATGAACTGTACTTGACAAACTGGACCGATCATGGGCTCACCTCCACATTACTTCTATCTTCCCACTCTTACCTCTTCCCTACTCTGTTATATTCATCCCTTTCCCTCATTTCTTAAGTAAAAAAATGACACAGAGCCAGCAATAATGGTCTTTCTTACCATGAATTGAGTAGTGACCTTTTGCTGCTATACTAATAAATAACAGAATAAATATAATGTTGATCTTGAAAGCAGAATGAAAACTATCCACCAGTTTATTTCCTTATCACTATTTTTTAAGTCATCGTGTCTTTTATCTCTAGTCGTCTTCTGACAGAGCAAGTAAATTTATTTCACATCTGACATGGAAGAATTAATCTTTTCTTCCTTATTTGTAGCAGACTTCCAATTTATCCACGCTACCTTAAATCTGAGGGGAAATGAAGGTGAAATTTCACTGTATAACTTTCTTCTTGAAAGACATAGGGACACCACATTTTGTGGAAACTTGATAAAACAGGAATAAAACTCTGCCTCCCTTCATGACAAGCATCAACGAAGGTCAACATTATAAGGAGTGACTTTGAAGGATGTTCGTAGATAACCTTACAACAGTCCCTTCTCTGGAAGCTTTGTTGGTTTGGGGTTTTTCCCCAAAAAACAAATCCAAATTTTCAGAAAGCAGAGGTATGAAAGCGGGGCCGGGGCAGGGGGAACACACGGGACGGGACACGACGACACACACGACAAAATAGCTCCTCAGAAATCAGTAAATGACTTTTTTATGAAAACAAACATCAGTTCCCCAAACATGCCTTATAAAAATGAAAGGGATGTTTCCACAAAGCAATAGAGAGAAGTTCTGCTAAGAGATAAAGTGATCAAATGTTAGAGGTCCACTATAGAAATTAATGAATCATGAATTCAGAACTATCTCCAAAATTAGTAAGTTGTTCTTTATTTAAATAAGTTCTAAAAATAAAATCCATTAAAGCAATACAGAAAATCAATACAATATTTCTTCTTAAGGTAACGCTTCTAAGCAAGGAGAGAAAAAAGATTTAGCAAATCCTAGAGCCATTACTAGCCTTTCAGGGAGAGCTATTTGCAAGGCAGAGAGCTGGTACACTCGCTTACAAGGAGATCCAACACACACAGCCTCCCACTCTCTTCTGATTTCCTGGCCAAGAGCAACAACAACACCCTTCACCCACAGGTTTCCACTGATCCAGCTGGGGTTTCTCCCTACTTACCCCATAACAAATGCCTGGTTCTAATCACAAGAAAGCCTAGCAAAACTCTTTTAATGAAATCAGCCTGGAAGGATGCTTTACGGGACCTCCTCTCCTGTAATGTCACGTGCATACATCAAGGAATCCGAGCGTTCTTGACTATGGTCAGTCAAGACTGAGGAATTGTTTATCAGTGCCTCATGGCCTCTTCCACTGAGCAAGGTATTTCATGTTTATTTTAGTAAATAGACAGTAATTAATCTGCAAAGATAAAGCATGGCAGGGATGTTTCAAAAAAATAACGAGTTTCCCAGCGACTGTAGTGCCTTGGGATAAATTTCCCTCAAAGCTGAGCCTACACAGAAAATTGTTACTACTTGTATCTGTTCTTTACCAAGATGTTACGTGGCAACATTAGGAGTAACAGGAGGAGGCTTACAGTTCATGAATGCCATGCACTGGCTTAGAACAGGCACTGAAAAACGATTTCCAAATAGAACCAAGAAAAGCAATTTTTGATAAACAGAGTATTATTACCCAGAATAGCGTCTAACTGGGAAACCTGTTTAAGTACAACATGCCAATAATTTATTTGTTGTAGGAAGAGAACTGGAAGCCTTCTCCCCACTCCCGTCCCTCCAAGACTCTAACCGTGTTTCTCAGTGATAACTGCACAATGGCTTATTTGTTTCTTCCTCTTTAATTCCTTCTTTATAGATTTCTCCTGTGGTTCACTGTTGTGAATTACAACCTGAAATATCATATAAGTTTGTTCATCTAAAATACCACCCTTTTTTTTCATCCAAATAGGGACCACTGTTTGGTTTCCTTGACGTAAATCTGTAAACTTTCACTGGTACATAACTTTGAGATGACTACAGGTTGACCCATCTCTCTCTAGGTGGCATACTCTCTACTCCCATAGTGCTGGAGACCAAACAGCACAGGAATCCCTCCTCCCACAGGGGAATGCTCTTTAACCACCTTCCCAGAGACTGGCTCTATACAAAGACGAAGGAAGAACGCTGCCTCCAAAATCAAATACTACTACTCTTTGAAAAGAAGATATGTTTTCTCAGACGTTTTCCATTCAAATACTGATCAGCTCAGACTGATCAACAGTATGTAGAGTGTAGAGGAACGCATTTCAAGATGATGGTAGTTGGACTCCACAGGCTAGAAAGGAAAAACCTAAGTGCAGCCAAACCCACATTAATTCACAAAGCAAATTTGCTATATTAAAGAACACAATTTAAAGTGACCTATCAGCTAAAAAGAGAGCACATTGAGCATTAATGTGCCGGAACAACAACAACAGAAGAGTTGGGTTTCTTTTGAAACAAGCAGATCCATTACTGTGATTATGCTAATAAATATGATGTCAATTAGGTTTTAGATAGAGTCTAATAGAGACTAATTTCTGCTCTCAGGAAAGGCACACTGGCCCAGAGAGTAAAGAGCACATTCTACAGCAGATGAACAATAAGTAGCTAAGCAACAAAATCATCTCACCATCACCTAAATGCATTTTCCCATCTCAGAAATGCAAGTGGTTTCAGAATCAAAGAGAAGAACAAGAGAAAGTAAAGAGTTACTTATGCAGCCCACATACTCCATCTCGGTAAACCATCACTTGGCCTGATCAAGGCAAGTCTAATAGAAGGTCTGAGTCACAACAGAGGACACAGAGTGCACCAAATGGGACCAATATGCTTGTGTCTTTCAGATGTTGCTGCAGCCGTTCAGAAAGAGAGAAAGCTGACCTGCAGCAGCAGTTGAAGGGAGTCAGGGAAGAAGAACAAATTCCAGTTCTGGTTGGCAGCAAACAGATTAGGACAAACACTCTGGAAATGGCTTCAACAGTCCTCGAAAGCTCTGGTGTGCTCAACAACACCAACTCAAGGACATCTAGGGAGATCCTACAACAGTAGTATCTCTGCTCCCTGCTTCCCAGTCACTTGTTCCTTATCCTTTCTCTTGCATCAGAAATCAGAGGAGAAACAGCTCAGCTATAAAGATAAGGCAAACACAAACATCTTGTACTTGGGCAAGCAGGCTTGAGATGCAAGTGGTATCTTATGTTATGATGAAAGATGGAAGGAAAAAGATTTTTCTGAGGGGGGGGATTAGAATGAAAGTGAGCAGGTGCTATTTGTATTAGAAAACAGGAACATCAAACAAATTCATGTTGTGTAGGAGTTCAGTGTTTTCTTTCAGGCTTTAAGGAATTCTTCAGAGTTCATTGACATGTTTAAGAAGGATGCAATTGGGATAACACCTCCCTGCAACAGTCCAAGAAAACCTCCGATCCAGTGGTAAAATGTGCTGGAACTCAAACCCCTCTTTACGTGTCACAAAATCACAGCAAGCTGTTCTGAACACCCAGTGTCCATAGGGTCACTACAGTTCACAGTATGGCCAGCCATATTTCATAAAGATAATGAGGAGATAACCAGACACTAGTGGGAATTCAACATATTATTTCATCTAACTCCACAGAGGCAAGCTGTAAAGAAGGGTCTGGTATGCCTTTCAACAATACAGTCATGTCCAGTATACTACTAGGAGGAATTTTTTTAACATTTTCTGCCACCTAACTAAAAAGCTGACTATATTAGAGATTTAATGAACGTTGTGGCTTATCATCCTTACTGTCTCTGCTTCACCAAAAGAAAAAGAAATCTAAAATTGAATTTAAAAAAAAAAAAACACAATTCATTCAAATCTCAGTAATGGGCTGGCAAAAGAAGCATGTTTAGTTTTGAATGAGCCACAGTGAAACATTAAATACCTCAGCTGTTTCAGGAACTCAACATCGGAGCTGCTGTTAATGAGCTTGATGAACTCCTCATAAGAAGGAGCATATGTGTAGTCTTTCTTCTGATGCTCATTCATCTGTTCTCTGTACTCCAGCTGGCTGAGTAGCATTCGGTTAATATAATCTGGATCACTCAGCAGTTCCACCACTGGTTTCAGTACTGGAGAGGAAAAATATTTAAAAACAAAATCCTTATGCTGAAGAATAACTGCTGTCCTTCAAAAGAAAATTGCAGATAAAAGGCAAAAATAAATATGCAAGTTGATAAAAATCAAAAAACAGTCTTCTGGACTACATAGTACATTTGAAATTGGATGTACCTTCTTGATAAAACTGTTTGTTTATTCTATTACACAAATTGATGTACGTTGACAAAGCTGAGCTCTATTTGGAAAATTCCAAGTGGTTTTGTTCCTTCTGCTGTGTGCCTTGAAGGCTATGACATTACAGCCACTGTAAATGAAAATTAGAAGTAAACTGAACCACATAATATACTTGAGACTCCATAATTTCTGAATTTGACTCCAGTGACATAAAAAAATGACTAGTGTATTTATAATCAGATTAAAGTATAGCTGATAAAATAAAAAGCAAAATAGAAAACCCTCAATTAAAAAACCACACTGATAAATTGAAGTCTAAAAAAAATCAAATCTGGTGTCATGATTCAGTTATAATCACATCCTTAAGCCTATGGATTCTATGTATCTGAATAGAAAAGGCCAGAATTATTCATATAATCACTAAAAATAATGCCATGGAAGACTGCAGAAGTGTTCCTCTATGGAAAAAGAAAAGAAGAATGGAATGGACAAATTGTATTTTATCCTGAAAGGTGCTAAACAGCCTGGCATCAAGTCAGGAGAGTCAAGTAAGTATATGCTTGATTTCTGAAAATATAAGGTGTCTTACTGGTTATCACAGAAATTAAATTTCAGAATTTAAAAGCAGAGCATCAAGACTTATACATAATGAAGTCTGTAATTACTAGTATTGTACAGGTGCAAATGGTTAATCATCTCTGATCTACCTTTTGTTGCAAGTATTTCTGCAAGGACTACGCGCAAGCTGACAGACTGGACATCCTTTGAGGGTAGGAGACAATACACCAGAATTTGAGAACATTTTTGCAGGAATCTTACTTCTTCATCAGCGCTCCTCAAGCATGGGTGCAGCAAAAAAGGTCTCGGTGGATCTTCCTGCCTAAGGGGGGGGGGGGGGGGGGAGGAAAAAAAAAAAGAAAAAAAGAGCGAGAACTTACATACCACTTGTATCACGATTAGTCGCTAATTGATAAAATATCCGAAATCCATTATCAGGTAAGTAACTTCAGTAAAGAAACATTTTAAACCACGTGTATTTTTCAAATCCTACTTATTTTTCTTAATGATGTTAAGATACATTTCCAAATTCCTTTGTCCTGTCAATGTTTTCACCTGCCAAAATAGAAATACAGTATTTTAAAACTGCATCAAATAGAGAGAGCCCAGCAAGTGGAAGAAAAAAGTTTCTCTGAAGAAAAAAACAACTGTTCTCTCATTGAACTTACAGTGAAATCCTGCTGATTGTTCTGAAAAACTGGACAAGACAAACTCAAGAAGCAAATACATTCTTATAGAGTGTCTATAATTAGCAAACTAATTATAGACCTGAACCTTTAAGCAGAGGATTTGGGATCATACCTAGTTTGAGAAACAGGTCTACCTGTTAGATACTGAAGCTACCATCTTCCCTTTGTTACTGGCAAATAAATCTCCCAGTAAATAACTGGCCTGTTTGACCCGACTTTTCCTAGAACAGCAGTTTTCAACTTGCCACCTGCAGGCTATATCACATTGGTCTGTGCGAGATACCTATATAGTAGCAGATCTGGCATTATCAGCCACCTACACTGTAAGTGGAAAACCAATTTAGAAAAAAATTAAACCCCCCCACCCACAGATTTAGAAAGAGGGTGGAATAGCGATGGCAAACAGAGAAAGGTGAATTGACTCCCAAAGCGCAAAGAAACTTGGCCAGATAAGTCCCCTCAGTAGTTCCGCAAGCGAGAACCGACCATATTGTTACCAGCATCACTGGGGTATATAAAGCATGAAACTGGAAAGCATGAAACTGTAGGGGCTCAGCATGTGTGTGCAACCCCACCTTTGGGGCAATACCCCTGTGGGCAGCACGCTCACCCCAGAGGGGGTGAGAGGCCCTGGACATTAGGCTCTGCTCAGCCTGATAGGTCTGAACCTGCATCTTCCAAGTCCCATCCAAGTCATCTCTCAGCAAGATCACAAATTCGGTGAGTCACCTCTTGGCCAAATCAATTAATACCACTTGCTTGGATCTGAGCATCTCAGGCATGCAGAGATCACAGAACCATTCAGAGAAGAGACAAGAGAACTTGCCTCAAGCTGAGTCCTCTGATCAGCAGGCTGAAGCTAGAATATGCTCATGTTGTATACTAATAAATCACCACAGATAAAAAAAATAACTAGGGAACAAAGTCACAGTTTCCCTCCATCATCCTAAATGCTTCATATTTTGCCTGCCTTCAGTGGAGTCAGACCCTTGCCTTTGGCTAATTCTGGTTCAGCTTCAAGAAGGAGCAGGAGAATACTCTCAGCCAGAATCACTCTCAGCCTGCTGGGGAAGGCATTCACTATCATCCACTCACTAACTATAAGGGTTATGCAAGCTGGATACTAATGGATGGAGAAAATCCAAAATTTCATGCTGGTTTCACTTTGCACTTGGTGAAAGAATTAGGCTCCTACCTTAAAGATAAGTAAATCAGGCCTGAAGGTAGGACAGGTATAGTGTGCTATACTATACATATATATACACACACACATATATATATGTGTGTGTGTATGTGTGTGTGCGTATGTATATAATACACTAATATACTCCTTTTCCTGCCACTGAACAGGCAAACAGGTCCTCCCTGCTCCTGGCAATCATGGTAGGTGTATTTTGGGAAGATGGCAAGACAGAGTCATTCAGAGCTAACAGTGAAGGGGTGGTTGTGTCTCTGCTGCAGCATGAAGCACTGGGTGGGCACTGTGCACCACTGAACATGCACAGCAATGTGCTGCTGGATGAGCAAGTCCACGATAGCAGAGTCTGTGTTGTTTACAGACTCCCCACAGACAGCTCTTCTGATCACAGCTCTGAAACAAACAGGGAGCAAACCTCCCCCACCTTGATTTTGTGCCCCATACTGACCAGTTCATCTCCTCGCAGGTGTCAATGGTTTTCTGGACTTCTCAGAACATGTTTGACTGGACGAGCCAAGGCAACTCCTTAGTGCAGGTCACAGCAACACCTTTTCTTTACACAAAAACAGCCGTAGAAGTAGAAACAAGGTGCCCTACCGGTTCTTTTGTGGCCACGTGCCTGATATGCTCCAATCACAGATTTACAGTTTAACAGCAAGGTGACCATGCCAGTGGTCACAGCGAGACAGATGCAGTGTCACCCGAGAGGCACCACGGTAATTTCCAAAGACAGCCAGGACTGGTCTTCAGTAGAAGGCTCTAAGGCGTTACAAAGGTTCAGATCTGTCACATATCATACCAATGCCTCTTCCCATCGTCTGTAACGTCTGCTTCCTTCCCAGAGCTGGAGGCTGCTGTCCTGGTTAGAGTCAGTTGACTGTTACTTACAGAGCTGCTCCAAGCCCATTGCCTCTGTACATGAAAAAGTGACCAAGAACTGTATACAGTCAAACCGAAAGTTTTCCGTTAGACACCACTATATGGCCACTAGTGACAGGCAGCATTGTGTAACAACTGATTTTTGCTAGTCAGTCCAGGAGGGAGCAAATATGTTGGAGTAGTAACAGTACTCTAATAGGAGCTCCAATTCTGTTCTAATAATACAAGTTATTTGTCTCAAGGTGACCAAAATTAGTTTTTTTTAATTAATTTTCAGAACAGCAGCAATGTAAAGATGACATCTGGTTTCAGTTTGACTGAAGCCTCTTATTCAATCCCAAATCAAATGTTTTGTTTTCAAACGTGGATCATGGAGGGGGTTTCAACCGTTACAAGTAAGACAAATTTCAAAACAAGTCCCTTGAACAGAGTATTTTCATCCAAGCTGTTCCTTCCAAGGAGCAGTGGTTTATGAAGCTGATGTGTAGTCTTCATTATCAACCAGCACAGGTGGTGCAGCTCACTGAGCTCAGAAAGCTGTTTATCTTGTTCTGATAGGATCTTTTCTCTCTGGCAGCTGAACACCTAGCTATTTTCCTCAGTGCATTTCCATTCCTCTTGAATACTCCAGACATATCCTATAGCCTTCTCTACACCGCATCAAACATTCCCCATCACATGCTCTCCCTAAAGGCATTAATTATTCATCCAAAACCACACATGCCCCAGGCAGACTACTGGCAGACAGAAAGTCTGGGTCGTTTATGTGCAGCCACCGCTTATTGGGGAAGTAAAGTCTTCCTTTTCTGGACAGGTTGGTCCACCTAAAGTCAGCCACTTAGAAACACAGCCAGAAGCATACACAAAATGCTGGCAAACAGGATAACTTACACCAAACATCAGTTGGCTAGCAGCAAATTAACCTCTCCTAACAACTGATTCCTGCGTATTAACAACAATGATACAGAGTTAGAACTAAAAGCAAGCGGTGATTGCTTTTTTGCCCATGAACACACAAACCCCATCCTTTTTGGACACTCCTACCTTATTTGCAGGACATTCTGCATAGTGATTAGATCAAGCTAACATGTGCAAAGCACAAAACAGAGCCATAAAGCACATAAAATTTCACTAAACTGAGATTAGTCTTCTTTGCCTTCAATATCTCTCTACAAGTCTCCTGAGGAACACCAGTCTGTTTGGGACTGCAAACACCCTGGAGCATTAACTGCACCTATGTCATGGTTTAACCTGAGCCGGCAACTAAGCACCACACAGCCACCTGCTCACTCCCCACCAGGGGGATGGGGGAGAGAATCGGAAGGGGAAAAACGAGAAAACTCGTGGGTTGAGATAACGACAGTTTAATAGGTAAAGCAAAAGCTGTGCACACACGCAAAGCAAAACAAGGAATTCATTCACTCCTTCCCATCGGCAGGCAGGTGTTCAGCCATCCCCAGGAAAGCAGGCCTCCATCACACGTAACGGTTACTTGGGAAGACAAACACCATCACTCCAAACGTCCCCCCCCTCCCTTCTTCTTCCCCCAGCTTTATATACTGAGCATGACATCCCATGGTATGGAATATCCCTTTGGCCAGTTGGGGTCAGCTGTCCTGGCTGTGCCCCCTCCCAGCTTCTTGTGCACCTCCAGCCTTCTCAGTCGGTAGAGAACAAGAAGCTGAAAAGTCCTTGGCCAGTGTAAGCACTACCTAGCAACAACTAAAACATCGGTGTGTTATCAACATTGTTCTCACCCTAAATCCAAAACACAGCACTGTACCAGCTACTAGGAAGGAAATTAACTCTATCCCTGCCGAAACCAGGACAACCTATACTATCATCCATGCAACAGAATTCATTTCTCATCATCTTTGTCTCCCTATTGTACGAATTTATTCCCAGTCAACAGCCAATACATACAGCTTGACTGAGTTTGACCTATGCCAGGACTCTTCTGATACACAGTCAATAGAACCCAAATGGAAAATGGAACAGAATAAACAAATAGAAAGGCAAATATTTTATTCTTATCCTTCTAATTTGTCTAATGTGTTCCTGCCTACAGGAATGCAAGGGGGGAGCGGAGTTGCATACTCTCCAGCTGACAGGCCATTTAAGAAGAGTTTCAATTTTTTCTGGAGTTATCTCCATTATCTAAGACGACATGACCCTCTAGAATAGGTGTTCTTTCAATTGTTTTCCTAGCTAAACTGTACCTAAAATGGGATCTAAAAAGCAGAAGGGAAGGCACAGATCCCCACCAGATTTTTATGAAAAGAATAGAGAAACAAAGTCTTCCGGAAATTCAACTCTAAAGAAGCCTTGCATATCAGTGCCAAACAGTTGCATCAACAAATCCTGCAGTTTTCATTGCTGTTTGGGCAAGAGAAATAAAGGGAAGACTGAAAGCAGAAGTGGAAGCTTGGGGGAAGGCTTAACAGCTACAAAATAAATCAATGCGCCAGTGGTAAAACAGACAAGACAAGATATCCAGGCTGATATCCTCCTTTGCTTTTATACATGAGGCATTACACTTCTATTTGCCTCAATATA